GGAGGAGGAGGAGGAGTTGGAGGAGGAAGAGGAGGAGGAGGAGGAGTTGGAGGAGGAGGAGGAGGAGGAGGAGGAGGAGGAGGAGGAGGAGGCCTGCCGCGCGGCGCGAGTCCCGCCGCGCGGCGCGGGGCGCGGAGCCCCTCGCGCAGGGCGGGCGGAGTTTGGCAAGGGGACCTATCGTTAGATCGGGCCTGTCCCCCTTCAGGGGGATTTTGGACGACAAATTAAAAATACCCCAAAAATACTCCAGACATGCCCCGAAGTAGTCAAACAATGGTCCTCGGACTATATGTTTGTACTATTTCTAAAGATTCCCCCTGCAGAGGGACAGGCCCGACTTCAACCTATCGGGGGAAGCGAAAGGGGACGATAGCAAATGGCAGGGTAGACAATCAGCTCACGTAGCTGATTTTCCCAGCCCCTCCCGACGCCGGGAGGCGATCATGCATCGAGGAATGGGCCCGGCGGCGGGGTCGAAACCAGCCGCATGCAGCAGATTTCGTGGCCCCCTCTTTCCCTATATGCCCCCCCTTCGTTCGGCCCGACTCGCGCAGGGCGGGCGGAGATTGGCGGGGGACCTGCATCGAGGCCTCCCTGATGGGGTCCGCAAGAAGCCTTCCACAAGAGAAAACCAACCCTGAGACCCCAGGACGTCCACCGAGTTCTGGTGCGGGAGCGTCACGCCTTCCCACAGCAAAGCCCTCGAAACCCAAGAGGAACCCAGGGCACCCTGGAGGCGAGGCGAGCAGGGTGTTTCTTGGCATGGACCCCCACAGTAGAGGCCTCCTAGATGGGGTCCGGATAAATGGTGTCGGAGAATCGCGCGGCATCGCCGATGCATCGCCAATGTATCGGCGATGCATCGGCGATGCATTCGCGACGTCGGCGACGCATCGCCGACGTCGGCGTGGAGAAAATCGGGCTCCACATCGAGCCGCATCGGCGATGCATCGGCGATGCGGCGCGATCCTCCGACCCCATCTACTCCGACCCCATATAGGAGGCCTAGGGTGCAAGAAGGATGCGCGGTGAGGATGCGAGGGCCTCGGAGGGTCATATTAACGATTTTCGAACGAGGCTGGGGTAATTAGCCTTGGAAAGCAGCTCACCCTTACTATGCGGGTTCACGGGTTGACTGCAATTGGGGGTGAAGAGAATGCCCCCAAAGGTCACTTTAGGGTCCCTTTCGGGCCCCTGCTGGTTCCAATAGGGGCCTTAAGGGCCCCTTCGGGGCCCTTGTCGTCACCCCCCATGTAGGCCACCCCCCATTACCACCCGCCCGACTCGCGCAGGGCGGTGCCACACTCCGACACCGCCTCGCCCGCAGGTGAGGGGCAACAACTGGGGGGGTCTAGGCTCGAGACTTTCTGACGTTTTCGTCAGATCTCGGCCCAGACGTGCCTTGTCCTGATTTGTGCAGTGCGGCCCTGGACGTCCCGACCCTCTCCCCGGGCACGGCTTTTCCTCCCGAGCCGTTTTTTGACGGTCCCGGGGCCCAGCGAGGGCCTCCGGAGGCCGAAGACGACGAAAATAGGGGGCCACATGCGAACCCTACCCCTACCCCCCACGATTTTTGAGGGGGAGGGTGGGGTTCACTTCGCTCGAGAGCTCTCGAACGAATTGAACCTCACCCTCCCCCTCAAAAATCGTGGGGGGCAGGGGAAGGGGTAGGGTTCGCATGTGGCCCCCCAGAAAACCTCCGCCCTCAATCTTGTTTTTTTCACGACGCGAGCCTGGCTTGGGGGCGGGCCTCCAGCCTCGGAGTGCCTTCCAGCGGCCGCGCCTCGCCGCGAGCGCTCCCCGGCAGGCTTTCCAGGCCATCGTCTCCCGAACACAGCGGCCGCCGGGGGCCCGAGACATACATGGCCCGAGGCGCCGGCTACTTAGAAGGAGGAGGAGGAGGAGGAGGAGGAGGAGGAGGAGGAGGAGGAGGGGGGGAAGCGGGGGGAAGAGGAGGAGGGAGGGAGGAGGAGCAGGAGGAGGAGGAGGAGGAGGAGGAGGAGGAGCAGCAGGAGGAGGAGGAGGAGGAGGAGGAGGAGGGGAGGGGAGGAGGAGGGGGGGGAGGGAGGAGGAGGAGGAGGGAGGAGGAGGAGGAGGAGGAGGAGGAGGAGGAGGAGGAGCAGCAGCACGAGCAGGAGCAGGAGGAGGAGGAGGAGGAGGAGGAGGAAGAGGAGGAGGAGGAGGAGGAAAAGGAGGAGGAGGAGGAGGAAGAGGAGGAGGAGGAGGCGGAGGAGGAGGGGAAGAGGGAGGAGGAGGAGGAGGTGGAGGGAGGGGGAGGGCTTCTCAGAAGGAGGCTGCTTCTTAGAAGGCGCTGGCCTTACATCCATAGACGAGGCCGGTGCCTTCTGAGAAGCAGGGGTGCTTCTCAGAAGCCCTCCCCCATCCCCCACCCCCCCTCTGCGCGTGGCTGATTATAGGGGAGGACGCATCGACCTGGCATCGGCGCGATGCATCGCTGACGGAGCACCCCAGACGCGCTCGCGTCGTGACAAAAAAATCAGGGCGGGAGGTTTTGGGCCATTTCCGGCCTCGGGGGGCCCTCGCCGGGCCTCGGGACCGTCCAAGAAACGATGCAGGATGAGAAACTTTTCCCAGGGAAAGGGTCGGGACTTCCAGGGACGCCGTCCTGAAAATATCTGGACGTCGCACGTCTGGGAACGACAGAGTCGGGGCTGCTTGGAAAGGACACACGGAGGACACGAGACCCTTGTGCCACAGGAATGCAAGAAGGCATGGGCCGCCGAGCTCAGGACGCGAGGGTGCCCTCGATCTGGCAGGGCCGACCTGCTAGGCAGTCTCGACCGGAGGCCCCCGGCAGCGCATCCGCACGATCCTCGGCGGGATGGAATACCGAGCCCCTCTCGGCGATCCATGGGCGATCGGGGGTCGATGCATCCCCCCCCAGAGTCTACAGGGCAATTTTAAGACATAGGATTTTCAATACATGATTAATTTATAAATGTATGCATGAACTCATCGTGGTTTTTAATACTAAATCCCTGCATGTGTAATACATGATCCGCACGCGGATCATGTATTAAAAACGGCACTGTACTCTATCCCACCCCTGACGTTGCCCCTGAGCACGAGAGGCGAACGCGTGGAACCACGGGCTCGCCGCCCGGATCGCAGGAGCACAAGAAACCGAAACCTGCTAAAAGAAAGCCAACCCTGAGACCCCAGGACGCCCACTGGTCTTTGGCGCGGGAACGTCGCGCCTTCCACAGCAAAACCCTCGAAACCAAAGAAACCCAGGGCACCCTGGAGGCAAGCAGGGTGTTTCTTGACATGGGCCTCCACCCCAGACATGCGACGTCCTGATTTGTTTAAGACGGCGTCCCTGGAAGTCCCGACCCTTTCCCCGGGACCCGTTTTTCATCCTGAACCGTTTTTTGACAGTCCCGAGGCCCCGCGAGGGCCCCCCGAGGCCGAAAATGCCCCAAAACCTCCCGCCCTGAGTTTTTACGGCGCGATCATGTCTGAGGGTGTTTCTTGATATGGGCCTCCACTGTATGGACCTGGACTCGGCGGTACGACCATCGTGCTGCCAGCAGACGAAAGCCGACGAGGGAACGAAGGGGGCATTTCTCTGGCCAGGGCGGGCCTCCGCCGCGAAGAGGCTTTTCCCGCTCGGGATCCGCGGGAGCCCCCAGGGGATCCTCCTCTCTCGGCATCCTCGCCGAACATCGCAGGCAGATCGGCGCTACCACCCCTTGCGAAAAGCAACTGGTGTTTGGCGAGCCCCCAGGCCCCCCACTTCAATGTTGATCGCGGGACCGGCGAAGTTCGAAAAACAAATCGGCACCGCATTGAACTTAAAATTGGAGGGGTGGGGGGGGAGGTGTGTAGGAAAAACACCAGTTGCTGTTTGCACGGGGGGGTAGGCCCTCGATTAGGGAAACGAACAATGCCATAAACGTCAAAACTCGGAGGTCCGCGCGGATTGCTCGGATCGGCACTGGCCCCCCTTCCCCGGCGCGCGGAGCGCGCCAGGGGCCGCGCCGGAGGCGCCGCCAACGGGGGAATCCAGCGCGGATCCGAGAAATCCGCGCGGACCTCCGAGTTGGTATGTTTATGTCAGTGTTCGTTCCCCTAATATCCCGGCATCTTTGTCGTACGTCGCAGGTAGATCGGCGACGCAGTGGAGGCCCGACCACAAGAAACCCCCCACAGCAAGCCCAACCCTGAGACCCCAGGACGCCCGTGGGTCTGTGGCGTGGGAACGTCACACCTCCCGTAGCAAAACCATCGAAACCCAAGAAGCCCAGGGCACCCTGGAGGCCAGCAGGGTGTTCCTTGGCGTGGGCCTCCACCGTAGGGCCCTCCATAGCGCAAGCGCACTCTCCTGGCCGGGGCCAGCTACCAGGCTTAGGTCGGGCATGTCCCCCTTCAGGCGGACTTTAGGCGAATAATCAAAAATAGTACAATTGCCAAAAATAAAAAAAACGTCCCTAGACTATTGTTGGACTACTTTGGAATGGATATTCCTCCTGTGGAGGCACACGCCCGACTTAAGGCGATCTATGAGGCCCCCGTCGGCGATGACTGGGCAATGGGAGCCCTTCGGCACCAGAGCTCCGGGCCTCAGGCTGCCGTTCGAGACACGACGCAGGCACCCCCGGGGAACGCTCTCGGCAAGATGCGCAGCTGCGGGGAAGCGTCCCTCGTGGGCGCGCAAACATGGATTAGCGATCCAGGGATTGGCGCGCGGTCGCCAAATCCATGGATCGGGGGAGGTGCCCTCCCCAAAATGCGGCAATTGCCGCCTCGTTCGGCGGCGGAAACCCGCGATTTCCAATTGAAACGGGACCCGTCGCTAATCCACGCCCCCTTGATCCATGTTTGCGATCGCCTGAATCCCGAGGCTGGAAGCCCCCCAGGAACCAAGAAATACATAAGCAGAAATCCAACCGAAAACGCCCGCCCGCCCCCCCCCCACTTCCCCTCCCCCTGGATGCATCCCCGTTCGGGGTCGGTGCAACCCCCCCTGAGCCTCCTGCTCACACCACAAGCGCCGGCGACTCGTGATGGAGGCCGTCAAGGCCCGCCGTGCGATTCGGGCAGTACTCTGGCGGCGAGAAGAAATTGTCGTCCGGCACCGCCTCGCCTTCGAGGTAGTCGATCGTGTGGAACCAAGCGCGCATGGTGTGAAAAAACCAGCTGACAGGCGTGCAGTCCTCGGCATCGGCATAATAGTCTATGAAATCGTCCTTCGTCCAGACCTGGCACAGTCTCCCGTTGAGGAACGACTCGCCCAGGAAGGTAGCCCCCTCCAGCCAAGAGCGACGCAGGATGCCCACGTCGAACTCATGGAACATGCACTGCCGGAGGCCTGGGTGGATGTAGTACGAGTGCCCGCTGCCCAACTCCAGGTCCCAGAGCGTGGAGTTCGCGGGGCTATCAAGGAAGAAGCAACGGCATAGCATAAACTGTCGGAGCTCCGCGCGGATTTCTTGGATCGGCGCTGACTCCCCTCCCTGGCGCGGCGCCAGGGGCGCCGCGCCAGGTTGGCCCAGCGCCGATCCGCGGAATACGCGAGGAGCACCGAGAATTGATGATCACGCCATTTCTTCTTCTTCGAGGCTGCCGTCACGGTGGTCGATTATTCACTGGCAACTCACGGGAGGCTCCCATACCATCTTGTCGGCACTTACGCATCGACGCTACGACGCTTCTCGACGCGAATCGATGCCAAATCGACGGTGACCACTAATCGACGCTAACCGAGGCCAGATCGGCGCTACCCATCGACTCCCAGACGCTAAACGACTCTAACCGACGCCAAAGACGGGATTGTGAGGGTATACCATGCCAGGCTCCCGTGATTTGCCACCGAACGATTATCAGGTTCGCCTGCCGCCCCCAGTCGTAGTAGGCGGTGACGTTCGAGCAGGTGCCCCTCCCGCAGTCGGCGTCGTCGGCCGGCACCTTCCGCTGCAGGATCTTGAACCGGACGGGCCATGCCTCGGCGGGGCGCACACCGTCGGGTGCTGCTAGGAGTGGTCCCGGCTCAGGTTGCTCCCAAGAGACAGTTTTTCTTGAATCGGCGATAACCCAGGTTATCCTGGGGGGGGAGGAGGAAGGGGCCGGCCGAGACCCTAACCTTCGGGTTGTGGGCAGCCGTGCGCATGCCCGCGTCCCCCCCCCCGCGGACCTGCACAACCAGCAAGGCCAGGTTATCCTGGGGGAAGGAGGGGGGGGGGCAAGCCCCAATAACCCGGGAGATCGCCGGACCCTTTAAAAAACAGTCTCCAACTCTTCGCACCAGCCTGGGGCCCCCGGGCCCCCCGGGCTTCGTGGGGGGTGCAGCAGGCCACGGGCGGCAACGAAGGTTCCGCCACGCGGGCACAGTTGGGATCAAGAGAGAAGCCAGGAACAGGGGCAGCAACAGAGAAGAAAGAGGGGAGGGCTTTTCGAGGGGAAAAAAAATCCGATAATATTCCAAACATGCTCGCAAATGGTCGAAAATTCGTCCCCAGAAATAATCCAAAAATGCTCAAAACCGGTCAACAATGGTTGAATATTCCTCCTGCAGATTGACAGGCCCGACTTAAAGGTAGGCAGCCGCATGCGGGCCCTGCCTCTGGAGAACACCTGCCGCGGTCAAGCGTCCGAGGGGCCTCCACGAGGCCCCCAAGAGACCCCCAAGAGGCCCCAAGAAACTCTCCGAGGTTCCCAAGACGCTCTAAGAGGCGCCCGGAGCCGCCAAGAGGCCCCCAAGACGCTCCAAGAGGCCTCCACTGGGGGACCCTTCCTCTATATGCTGCCCACTTCCCTGATCGAGGCACTTCCTCTGGGCATCTGCGGCCCGCAAGGAAGAGTCCAGAGGGCGTGTCAATCGGGCTGACTGGGGCACAGAGCCAGATAATTTGCGAACCCAGCTGTCACTGTCGACAGCCGACCGCACATGCAAGCACGCAGAACAAATTTGGGAAAACGGGCAGACGATAGCACAAAGCCATAGAAATGCGGAGCGGCCACCGTCGAGAGCCGGCCGCACGTGCAAACAAGCCGAGAGGGCCCAAGGAAACCGACAGCAAACGGGGCGACGCACAGTGGCGCCAGCACCCGACAGGCCGGGCGAGGAGCAAGGCGACAGGAAGAGGAGGAGGGGGGGGGAGAAGAATGGTGCCTCACTCACGGAGCACCACGTGCTCGAAGGCGGGATGTCACTGAATCAGGCGACGGTAGACATGTCGTGAATCCCGAGTGGCAACTACCACCACCAAAGACGGGGGGGAACGTCGCGTGGGAGCCACGTCACAACCACCAGCGTTCAGAGCCCCGCCAGGGGGAAACTGCGGGCAGAAGTGCAACACCTGATCATCGCAGAAGGGCAAGGCGTCGATGGCGTCCGCAAGCGTGAACTTCTACCAGAGGAAGAGGCCGATGTCGCTGGCAACGCTGGGAACCGGGAAACGCCTGCCAAGAAGAGGCACGAACCTGCCAAAGGATGAACCACTTGTACAGGAAGCCGTCCTCCAGGGCGACGGCGCCGTGTAGCGGAACGGGCACGTCGTGGAATGGCCGAGCCTGCCAAAGGATGAACCACTAGTGCAGGAGTGTGCCTGACCTGGACCACCCGCAGGTGGTGGTCGAGGGGCCAGTCGGTGCTTGTCAAGTGGGGGGAACAGCCACTGGGCAAGAGGACCAGCCGTCAGAAGGCGACGAGTGGAACGTATGGGGTGGGCCTTGGGCCGGCGCTGGTGGGATTACGCGAAGCGTCTAGAATTCGTCTTAGAGCCTGTTGAGTTCTCCTTAGATTCCGTAAGTACTACGTCTTACGATATACGCTCAAGAGTTCTCTAACAACGCTGCTAAGACATGTGAAGACATCTTCGGTAGCACTACTTAAGAAATGCGCTTAGACGATATTAAGCATTACTGCGTAGGCAAGGCCTGGAAACTTGTTCAGAAGCAGTATTAAGACGTACTCTTACGACATCTTAAACGTACTCGTAATAAGACTTCTAAAGGACGGATCATCTGGTTGGCGGCTGAGAGGCCTCTTGGGAGGTGCCCATGAAGGGCTTTTGCGAGGCCCCTTGGGAAGTGTCCCATGAAAGGTGTCCAAAAGGCCTTTGGGAGGTGCCCCCCAGGGGCGTCTGAAAAGGCCTTTTTTGGGAGGTGACCCTGAAAGGCTTCTGAGAAGCCCTGGAAGGTGCCCCTGCAGGGCTTCTGAAAAGCCTCTGGGGGGCGCCCATGAGGGCCTTCAGAAAGGCCCTCTGACGTGCCCCTGAGAGGCTCCTGAAAGGCCTGTGGGAGGTGCCCCTGACGGGTTTCTTGGAAGCCTCTTGGAGACTTCTCTGAAGGGCTTCTCGGAAGCCCCCACGAAACCTCTGAGGGGCTTCTACGAGGCCTCTGGGAAACCTCCGCATGGTTCCTGAAAGGCTTCCAGGTTGTCCCGAAAATTATCCTAGGTAAATAACTAGATATTCGCGTCACCGAAGCCATACCCCCCCATGAATTACACCATCTGCGCGCCCTCGAGAGCATACACCCCCGTAAGTTATGAAAAGCTCGCGCCCCCAAAGCCATACACCCTACTTAACTTACGCGATATGTGCGTCCCCGAGGCCATAAGCCCTGGCAAATTATGCAACGGTTGCGTCCCCGAGGCCACAGACCCTCACGAAGTACGCAATACTCGCGCCACCGAAGCCATAAACACTGGTAAATTCAGATTGGCCCCCGCGTGAAGTCCCGACATTGCTTCACGTCAGCGCCCAGACATCCCAACCCGATACGCAACACGTAAAACGTAGCGTGTTGACACGGAGCTCGACACGTAGACTGAAAACGTAGGTCTAACGCGACACGCTCGCCAAAACGTGAACCGACACACTGAGCCAACACGCAACGTATTCACGCGGACGCCTTGAACACGGCACGTTTTGCGTTTCAATACGTGCGTATCAGGGCAGGTAAAGTCAAAGCGTGTATTAAGGACGTGTGGCAAGGACGCGAAACCCCTAGATGCCGACGTTGTTTTCGCTTGGGCGGCGGGCGATCAAAATCCCAGAGACGCAAGGGTACCCCAACCCAGGGAGAGGCCAGGGAAAACGGTAAAGGACGGGCCGCAGAGGCAC